CGGGGCTCGATCCCAGGACCCTGGGACCATGACCTGAGCCGAAGGCAGGCGCTTAACGACTGAGCCACCCAGGCGCCCCTCCTTTGATTTATTCTTTATGGCAAGGTATAAGTCTAGTTTTCATTTGTACCTTTAACTAGATGATTGGAAAAAATATAAATGTAAATCTACCACAAAATGCAACAGATCTCATTATTAGGAAGTGATTCCCTTGTACATGGCCTAGATTTTCTTCTTCTTACTCATGGTAGTGAAGGAAGATCACTTGAAGGAGGGGACACCCAAACACAAGAGAAAGCTACTAATGGTAAACTGCATACCTAGGTGGAAATAAACTACGTCTGGTCCTTTGTGGTGCAAATAAACACCAAATTGAATAAACTTAAGAGCTGTTAACCAGCATCACTTCTAGTTCTGTGACCATAAATAGCAAAATATCTTATTTAGCTTTTCCACAATGGAGTGGAATGGAAAATGTTTCCTCCTTAATGTAAAACAATTCTGAAAAATGTAATAAATTTTCATTTACCCAGAATTTTAAAATCCAGAATTCTAAAACAAAAAATGCCCACCCCATGTTCAAAATTGATGTCCACAACATCAAAGCAGGCTAAGTGTGTTCTGATTGTGAGGTTTAATTACTCCCAGTCACGTCTGCATTATATTTCAATTCACTGAAAATGGTCATTGCCACAGTGAGCAAATTAAATGACCAGAAATCCAACTAACTAGGACCCCACTCCCCTCTTTTCATGTATTTGGATAATTATAATTACTCTGTACAAATGACATGAAATGCAAAAGTATGATACTCACACTTGGCATACAGACAGTCCATCATTGACTGTACTAAGTCAAGTTTCGCTTTAATGGAAAAGTTGATAAAGTTGGTATCAACCAGGATGTGGTAAGGTGGGCCCAGCTGTGTGTTATATTGGAAGAATAAGCAGGAAGGATGTTGGGGGCTGAAGGAAGAAGATACAAAACACAAAGTAATGTCTACATTGATACTTTGATATCAACAATGCAAATGAAGTTCTGCTTCAAACTGTTTGCTATAGATTAAGCTCCTTTTTCCTTATTCATTGGAAATAAATCCTAATAAATCCTGTGACGAAATATCCATTACCAATCTAGGGCAAAATGAGATAATAAAGAAAATATGATAAGGTTTCATAAAATTAAGTGTATTTATTTAAAAGGAATGACCTTTATCCTGAAATTTTGTCCTTACTATTTTTGGTGAAACATTCTTTCATCAAATGCTGATCTGTTAAACAGTGACAACTGTTTCTTTTGAAAGATCTTGGCAAAGAAGAAAAATTAATAATTCTAGATCTAATCCCTAAGATTTTAGGGGAAATTTCACTGCTTCATGAAATCCAAAAACTTTCGAACTACTGGAATGGATACATGTTCACTAATATCACTTTCATTTGCATAGTTGTGCCAGACTTACAGATGGCTTACAAAACAGCTTAGGGAAAGCCCGGATTTCTAAGAATTCTATGGTTCTAAAAATCTCTTCTACATTTAAAGGAAAACTTGAAATGTTTGATTACTCACACTTCTCTTTCCTTGAGTGCACTGGGATCTTTCTTTTCTTTCTTTTTAGGTTTTAATCTGTCCTTCTCTTTACTAGGAAAAAAGAAAGTAAATTAAATGCAAAAGAAAAAAATCAATGCAGTTATAATCTCATTCAACATGTAAAGTTTCTTCCTTCTTTTTTTTGCTTACAGAGGAAATCCTATTTTGTGATTTTTTCATATTAATATCCATAGCACAGATAATTCCGTGGGAAGTAGGCTGAAAGTAACTAATCAGTTAAACATAATGAAATTTAAGAATCTCTAGCCAATAATCCATAAAAATTGTTAATGGGGGGGACGCCTGGGTGGCTCATTCAGTTGAGCATCTGTCTTCAGGTCAGGTCATGATCCCAGGGTCCTAGGATTGAGTCCCACATTGGGCTCCCTGCTCAGTGGGGAGTCTGCTTCTCCCTCTGCCTGCTGCTCCCCTGCTTGTGCTCTCTCTGACAAATAAACAAAATCTAAAAAAAAAAATTGTTAATGGGTAAATAAAAGTTATACTATCATTTCTTTGTCAGAAGCTCTTTGTATCAAGGATCAAAATCCACTTCAATGCGGTGAAGAAACAGGCTGACATTTATCTTCTGAAGACTCAAATGTTCCAACAGTAGGGAGGAAAAAGCTTCCCCCATATGCCTCTTAAAAAAGGCTAAAATGTGGGCGCCTGGGTGGCTCAGTTGGTTAAGCAACTGCCTTCGGCTCAGGTCATGATCCTGGAGTCCCGGGATCGAGTCCCACATCAGGCTCCCTGCTCAGCGAGGAGCCTGCTTCTCCCTCTGACCCTCCCCCCTCTCATGTACTCTCTCTCATTCTCGCTCTCTCAAATAAATAAATAAATCTTTAAAAAAAAAAAGGATAAAATGTAAAAATACATACACAAAATTTAACCCTTAACTGGAAATAAAATATTATCAATGAGGCAAGTTCCCTAAAAATTACATAATACATACATACTAAAGGCTGAGAATACAATTTAGTAACTCTGAAGGCCATTCCTTTGTTCTAAGGTTATTAAACACAATGAAGACCAGTCTTTTTTCTTTTCTCTCTTTCCTTTCCTTCCTTCCTTTCTAAAGTAAGCTCTAGGCCCAAGGTGGGGCTTGCACTCACCACCCTAGATCAACAGTCTGATGCTCTACTGACTGAGCCAGCCAGGTGCCCCAAGACCAGTCCTTATTTCCTAACTTTGTTCTTCACTGAAGCAGGGAAGCTTACAATAGGGAATGTCATTTCACTTTCCCACAGTGGTTTAGAGTCTTTGGATAAAATGGAGACATCTAGGTGTTTTCCCATTCTTTCTTTTAAAAGTATTTAAGTGGCAGGTGCTGGGGACACAAGACAAACATGGTCTCTGACCTCACCGTCTTTCAACAATTTTAACATTTTTTTCCCCTGGGGAATATAAGAAGTGTAATGGCAAAAACACAAAGATATTCCTACCTACCAAACTCCTAGGAGGCTTAAATGTGATATCGTAGATAAAATATATAAAAACGGTGGAAGAGAGCGAACACTTCAGTAATGTTTAATTTCCATCCCCTTCTCCAGAGTAATCGCTCAGCATCTAAGTGGCTGTTACACACTTGCCTACTATCCTATGCTATATAAAACCAAGACACAATAATTTTTAACGTAAACACAAAATAATGACAAAACTTTACTACTTGATGCCCTCTTAACTCTTATATCTTTGGGAAGAGATTGATTCCAGATACTCACAGCCTCTGATCTCGGAGACTAAGCATTCGCTTCATGGTGGCATACTTTCTTGCTTTCTTTTGCTTCCCCTTGAAACAGAAATTTTAGAGTTAAAAGAATTGGAAATACATCGTATCTTCTTGAGTTCTTTCTCTTGTTTTGTCCACTCCCTTCCCTTCTTCCCTCAAATACCCAGCACCTCTTCTCTGTGCCCCAAACTGGTCCTCCTGTCCCCACTCACTAGAGCATAGCAGGCAACGCTCGAGCAGTTTAAGAACTACAATCAGAATGAAAACAATTAAGGGTAATACAGAGGAAATTTGGCCAACGGCTGATCGGCTCAATCTGCTCCCCTAAAATGTGGTCTTACAAAGTCACTTCTCAAACCCTCCTCTCACCATGTTCACGCCGTGCTCTTGTTTCTTCCGGAATCACGAACCGCGCGACACTTCTGCGTAATCCAAATACTGCTTCCTGCAAAGGCTGGCCCGGAAGCGGAAGCCGCTTTGGGAAACGGAAAAGCTTGGAGCCGGTTCCCAGCTGGAGCAGAGATCCGTATTGGGGTCTCTGGGGGGAGGATCTTGGGCCAGGCTTGCGACGGGTGCTGCCGCCGCCGTTCCCGGCAGCAGAGCTGGGACTCCGCCGCGCTGCTCGGGTAACGTTTCTCTCCTCTGCCTCTCTAGCCCGGGGCAGTGCAACGAGGACCTCCCTGCACCAGAGGTCCAGAGAGGCAGGACAGGGGTAGGGGGAACGGAATTCTGGGTTTTCCCGTAGTCTAGGGAAACACATTCTCCTCATCCCTCAGCGCTGAGGTGTCAGGTCTCTAGGGTGCAATTGGGAGGTTCTATTACCTACTCAGTTCTCCTACCTGACATGGTGCTTCGTGCAGCTAGGTGGATGATTCTCACGATTCTCTGGAGTAAATGCCGTGTATTCGTCTCGGTGCAGAGAGGGATGAATCATCGTTTGAGGGCCTTCTTTAGACCATCTCTAGAAAACTGGGGCATAAGCTTGCATATGTTACTAGTTATCAAGCCAGGAAAATGGTGCGGGAATAATTGACATTTATTGGGAAGCCTTGGTGTGTCACCCTTAATGGAAAAGGGACGGTTTTTGAGAATAAGAAGAGAAAGAGAACTTTCATTTTTTTGAGCAGCTTCTGTGTACTTCGGTGGTTCTTAGCCTTTCGGAGATCAGGTACCCCTTGAAGGTTTGTGGACAGCCAGAGACGATTCTTAAAAAAAAAAAAAAAAAAAAAGAATGGGTACATACAACATTTGTCATACAATTGATGAGACTCAGAGACTCTGAAGCCCATTCGTGGACACTCTGTGAACGTAGGGTTAAGAACCCCTATCTTGTATACTGTACTTGGCACTTTAATTATATTATCTTCTTTGGCCTTCACAGTAACTTAAGTGTCCTCCTTTTGCATTTAGGGAAGCTTAGGCTTGACTTTGTTCAGGGGTTTGTTCGGGTTTGATTTGATTCCAAAGCCTGTACTTACTGCACAAAACTATCCTAGTGTTTGAAATCCAAAAAGGTTATTACGTTTAAAAAAAAAAGCTGACCTAAAACATGCATTGGTTAACATGAACTTTGGAGTCTGACTAATGGAATTAAACTCCTGCTCTGCCTCTTACTAGCTGTATGACATTGTGTGAATTAATCTATCTGTACTTCAGTTCGTTCATCTGTAAAGTGGAAATAATAGTACCTGTCTTATAGGGATGTTATCAGGACTAAATGAATAAGAATGTGAAGTCCCTAGAACAGTGCCCACCACAAATAAACCCTATTAACGAATTTTTTATTATTGTGTGTCTTTCAACATGTGGGGGCATTTGAATTTTATGCCAATTGTATTTTAATATAGTTGCTCTATTTTGGAACTTGAATGTGTTGATATCTCCAAGAACCTTATAAAGTTTTCAGTTCTTGAAAAGCTAAGTTGCAGGGTGACTTCTCAAGTTGACTTGTGTATAGACACATTTTTATTCCTTCTCCTTTTTCTTTTTGGCTTGCAGGCATTTAGATAGCTTTGTGGTTCACATTATCTGACCTCGTAGGCGTTGAGTTTTTTATGTTGAAACAGTTTTATTATTGAACCATCTACAGATAACGTATGTGCCTTCTGCTTTACCCCATTTGCGGTCACTAGAAGTTCCTAATCTTTTTGAGACAGCTTGCGTGCAAGTTGCATTCATGGCTAGAGCTGAGAGCTACCACTTTTTCAATGCATTAGAACCTCTTGGTGATTAGGCAATAACCTTTTTAAGTAAACATGACCAGTTGTTTATTTTAAACATTTGGATGCTGACCAGTATTACAGGTAGGGTCAGAGGGAAAATTGCATATAATTGAATAGTTATCCGCATTTAAATTCAGCCGTTGACAGAAGAACACTCTCCTGCTAATGTGTACCATGAATTTTGGAATCCATGAACAATAGTAAATTTTTTAAAAAACAAGTAATTTGGAATAACTATTCTGAGAGTTTTCTTGTTTCCTTGTTTGTTAATACTTGAGAGGGAACTAAATTAGTGTAGAAACACTACAGGGAATGAGAACATACTTAGAAAAATGTTTTTGTTGAATTGTAATTTTATTGCAATCTGACATTCTTATAGTCTAAGATTAAAGGACTGAGATGCTTGATAGCATGTTTTGATGGTGATGGGAGGGGGGAGATGGTATTGCTTTGTGTTGGGTGGGGGCAGAAAGTAATTGCTTTTGATTACATACTTGTGAGCAAAAGAAATACTTTTAGTCCTTCTCAGCAGTCAAGAGGGTTGTTTTGTATTTTTCTGCAGTCTTGTAGAGAAAGAATTTTTTAAGGCATTCAACCCACAGTTTTGAACACATAATTGGGTTGGACTTCATTCCATTCACTAATTGGTCTTCCTTACCAATTGAAGTTAATAACAAATTTCTTTATAAAATTAAGGCTAATGAAAGATTCGTTTAAAACTCTTGTATTTCAATGTTAGAAAGTTAAAGGTAGATTGACTTTTGTGAAGAAAACTAATTCACAGATATTTTCTTCATTTCCAAGTTACAGTTTTTACACTTCTTTTTATGTCTCATGTAATGAGTTTTTTCCCCCAACATTAGTTGCTCTGAATTATTTTTCAGTTAACTCGACTGCCTTCTAAATATGTAACGTGGTGTACAGCATGTTCTGTTCCTAAGGTGTTGATACCAAATGGCTTGTAAGATACCTCAGAGGTACTTACCGCTGCATGTTCACTCAGTCAGAAGGCATGTATTAAGGGCCCATTCTGTGTGTGTTACTCTTCAAAAGCTCAGGCCTGAATTGGAGATAGACTTGTGAACAGATAAATTATGGTGAGGTCATCCAACAGAGGTATGCAAATTGAACTCTTTCATAGGAATTACTCTACTTGTTCATCTTTATGGAAGTGGTCCAGGTCAGAGTACTGTTGTGTAATATGTAATATTACAACATACCATATAACAAATAAGACTTATGAGCTTAACAGATTCTAGTATATCATTTCACTTTTTAAATTACTTTAGTCCTTAAATAGCTTAGGTTTAAATTTCAATTTATCTTTCTTTGGTTTCTTTTTCTTTGAAGGGTTCATGAATGTTTAGGCTTCATTAATATTCTTTTATATAGTAGTTTCAAACTTTTTTTTTTTCTGTTAAAGATTTTATTTATTTGACAGAGAGAGAGACAGCGAGAGAGGGAACATAAGCACGGGGAGTGGGAGACGGAGAAGCAGGCTTCCCGTGGAGCAGGGAGCCTGATGCGGGGCTCCATCCCAGGACCCAAGCCAAAGGCAGTCGCTCGACCGACTGAGCCACCCAGGTGCCCCAGTTTTCAGACTTCTGAGGTTGTTTAGCCTTGTTGCAGTTTGTGTGTGCACATGCATCTGTGGAAGGGGGCGTGCACACGCATGCTTGACGCCTTGGTATGCTATTATATCACCATGATGTTTTCCTGGTGGGACTCTTGAAGCCTGTTCTACAAGTTATGGTTTAATAGAGATGAATATTCATTTAGTTATCAGAAACCAGTCTTGGCAAATATATGTTTTGTCATTTAGCCTGAATTGAACTGTACCATGTGATTTTTTTTTTTTAATTGGGGGAGGGCAGAGAGAGGGAGAGAGAGAATCTCAGGAAGGCTCCACACTTAGCGTGGACACAGGGCTTGATCTCACAACCCTGAGATCATGACCTGAGCCAAAATCAAAAGTCAGACACTTAACCGACTGAGCTAGCCAGGCGCCACACCATATGATTTTAATATGAATTTTTGTTACCTTGGATAGTTGAAGGATTTACATCGTATTTTTCGGAGCTTCTAGCTGCAGCATCATTTCAGTGCAGTTTCCCTGTTGGTGTTGAGATGCTAGTAGTCAACATCTGTTCATTGTATTTTCTATTCATTATCCTTTTTGGCCAGAGATCAGGTAAAGGTAATCTAATAATATACAACATACATTTTCTGCAAGATCCTCTTGCTCAGAGATCCAGCCTAGGTTATTTTAACCCCTCCTTTGTCCACTTAGAGAGGTTCCACTCCAAGGATACCCCCTGGTGTATGCGGTAAAGCTATTAGGAAGAAAAAGAAGTTAAAACCTCCCAAGTATGATCTAGTTTCTCATGTCTTGGTGAAGAAGGAAACCCAGCTGGGCTGTGTAAATGATTTATAGGAAAGATTGAAAAGGATTTGAAAAAAGTGTTTTAACCAAGCATTACCTGGATTGGGTAGGGATTAGGGAGGCATGATCAGAATCCTAGGGAGGGAATGAGAATGTAAAGTGGGGAACCAGATGTGATTTTTTAAAAATTACATTTTATTTTGGAGTAATTTTAGATTTATAGAAAAGTTGCAAAGATAGTAGAGAGTTCCTGTGTATCTTTCACCCAGTTCTTCCCCTAATGTTAACATCTTACATAACCATGGTGCATTTGTCACATCTAATAAGAAATTAACTTTGGTACAATATCATGAGCTGAACTACAACTTTATTTGGATTTTACAAGTTTTTCCACTAACAGCCTTTTTCTGTCCTAAGATCCAAACCAGGATACCACATTGTATTTAGACCCTGTGCAATTTTGATAAATAGGTTGGGGTTTCCAGTGAGCTTTTTCTCTGCCATGTATGTGGTTCAGTAATCACCTCTGACCTTTGCTGAAGAGAGGAAGTCATTGACCATGAGAATAAACAATACTGTGTAGGTAGTGTTTTGTACCTCCTTAATTCCCCAAACATTGGTAACTCAGTGGAAGAGTTGGCTTTGCTCCCAGGAGGGTGGTATGAAGTTTCCTGAGAAGCTAAGAGCTAATCCTGATTGAGGGGCCCTTCCTGGGCTCCACTAACACCACGTGCTCACTTCATAGACTTCACTACACAGGACTATTACCAATTGGTTTACTTGTCTGTCTTCTGTACTAAACTGTATGTTTCTAAGGGGTCAGGGACCAGCTTACTCATTTTGGACTCCTCA